CCTCCCCTCCCCTCCCCTCGCGCTCCCCCGCCTCGCTCGCTTCCATTTCCCTCATGCTTCCCCGCTTGCGATCGTTCCTTCACCCTTCCCGTCTCCCCTCCGTTTGCCGCGTCTCGTTCCGCTCCCCTCGCGCCTGGCGATTCTAGTTGGCCGCAACCCGTCTTCTCTCTCCGACTCCCACTTCCTTTTCCTTTCCCCCTTCGCCAAGCCGCATTTCACTTCCTGCATTCTCCGTTCGCTTCTCTATATCATGCGAATGCCCGAGCAGTACCCTTATAAACACGCTACGGCACGCGCACAATCTTTCTTTCATCTTCCTTGTTCTACCCTCCACCCCTCCACTTACACACGCTTACCCGTACATGCACTACACATGACGGGAGTTGAGAGCTTGTCCCGGATGGGGCGATACCTCTCGGGTGGGAGATGGGTGGTGGGGGAATCCCCTCAAATAGTCGCGTATGACGAGGATGAACTTGGGGAAGAACACCTCCACCTCTTGTGATTAATAAATGCTCTACACTTACGGGACTAATAATAGCCGTTGACGTCATCGAAAAAAGTCAATGATTGACCCTTTTCATTAAATCTCTACATCCTTTTTCCCTCCCTCTTTTCTCTCCCTTACATCCATCCCTCTTGCCTCATTTTCTTGCAACTGACCCGTTTTCGTTCGCGCGTATGAGGACACGTTCATCTCCTTCCGGTTCTTGTCTCTATTTCCTCCGTCACTTCACCTCATTTCAAATCCGTCACATCTACACACTTCGGTTAATTTTTCGTTTGGTTTCAAATCAACGTTTACGCTTCTTTCTTTTGTCTCGCTCCCGAGTACCACTTACTCTCTCTTTGCTTCAATGTTCTAAATCGTCCAATTTCTCCTTTATCTAAATCGTTTCCCTTTGCTTATTTATCTTCTTCTTATCTTTATTTGCCTGGCCTTTTGCTTTCCTTCTGCTTCCTTTCACACCATCTTGAGGCACTCTTCTCTTCTTTCCTTAATACACCTTGATTTTTTACTCCTTTCACCTCCTGTCATCCGTATTTAATGATCTCGCTCCTCTCCACAATTGCACATTGTTCTCCCTGTGATCTGTGCTCTACGGTCAAGTTTATTTCGAGCCTCCTGCCCTATCGATTTCTTGCTCTCCGTACTTGTAGCCAGCGTCTCGTCTCTCCTGCAACACAATGTCCCCCATTTCACTCTGATATTTGCACTCCGCTTCATTCCCTTCAACCCTTGACCTCTAGGCGCGGCCTACTCGACCCGCTCGTTCTTTTACGAGTATGACCTCTGCCTCGTTTCCCAACTGCACGCGGCGCCTCCTATATTAGTTGCTTTCCTCCGCCCCTCTTCATGCACCCTTCGATATAACCTCATGACTTATTCTAACCTCACTCCCACACTTCTACACTGTAATGCCTCGTACACTGTTTTTGTGTCGGTTTTTTGATACCTGAATGACTACCAGGAAAGTAGCCACAAAATAGCTGACTGTTGAATTATAGACGAAGTAGATTTCCTGCATAGTTAAAGTGGCACACAAGAAACGGAACAGAATTTATTATCAATTCAGTTAAAAGTTTTACGCTTCTTGCGTTTCGATTGTTAACTACTTGTCATTTCACCACGTGATTCTATCGAACATATTTTTTCTTGTGTTCTCATTACGACTCGTGATAATCATTTCCTTGACAAATTCACTAATGTTGAAATGCGTTACCGTCACGGTTATTCATTTAGTACATTTGTTTCATTTAGTTCTTCGGCCCTTTTGTTCCTTCCTGTTTTTCCGTGCTCGCGGGCGCCAGTTCTGCCTTCCACGGTCAAACGTTTCTGCCCTGAGCTCGCGCCGTGTCCGGGTGGTCCACCCCGCTGGCGGCCTTAAACAT